ATCAAAGTGCTCCTCTGCTGCCAATCAAAGATTGGCGGCTCTGTCACACAGGTGATTTGTCCCCAGTTGAAGAGACAGTCAATAATACCTGCAGACTCCAGGTAACATCCTACCAGAACCAGAGTGCTCATCCACTGCCAATTGCTCCCTCGCACTCATTTTTCCTGAACCAAGCTGAAGGACAGTCATCGGAGAGAATACTCAAAGAGTACCCCAAGCAGCTGGGAGCAGAAACAATATATATATTACACATGTACTAGTTTCAGTTTCTCAAGGGGACATATAGAGACCACTGAGCAGAAGAAATCAGGGTTCCAGAGGCAGCAGAGATTGAAAAACACAGGCCCAAGATGCCTGTGACCAAAGAGACTTGTATCATAGTCTCTGCCACCCACACATCGACTCAGAGGTTGTGTGCGAAAGACAATCAATATTGAGACTAATACCCACAGTAACAATCCATCAAACTATTCAGCAGTCAGTGTATTATTTCAGAACACAAGTGCAACATTCAAGAACCTCTTATAACCAACCTAAGATCAATGTGTATGTACCAGTAATGATTGGACTAACAGGAAGCACATCCCACCAAGTTGACATGCTTCAACTGCTGCAAGTACTAGACTAATGAGCAAGTGGGCAACTATGACATCACTCAACTACAGAAATGCGCTTTCTGCAGTCAAGGTATGTCACAGTAAGCAGGAGCCAATGAGAAGCCAGAGATCCCCACCGGCGCGGCACCTCAGCCACCGACTACAAACAGCCACAGAAGTCAATTCCCACGGTAACAACATGCCACACACAACAAAGTGCATGCAGTAAAGGAAGGAGATATGATTAAATGCTCAAAATATTCCAGTAGACGGATAACCCAAAAAACCTCTTCGTAGAAGAAACCACAGAAATACATGAACAACCCAAGATGAAAACACACTATGATTGTAAACAGACACTACAAATCCGATTTTGTAGTCTTTTTGTAGTCTCCAATACAAGCTGATGTTAAAGCGGACATTGAATTCAAGACTACAGCACAAAAGTTGCACGCATTCTCGGCAACAGTGATTCCCACGGGTACAACGTTCACCATGCACCCAATTTTGCAGGTAAGGACTCATAATTTCCTATCTAAAGGCTCGAGTTTGGTGGTAATAACCCACAAACAGTGACTGGCGGGTGAAATTCATGCACAAATTAGATGCTATCTGTCACCTATCAGGTGCCTTATTGTTAACATTGAACATTCATTACAGTTTCATACAACTCGGACCCCGTAGCATAGCGTAGGATTCCCGTAGTATACCTAGTTCCAACACATTCCAGAAACGCCTGCGATGCACAGACTTTTCGTGCGCATCACCGCCGCTCGTTTTCCTCATCGTTATATCACCGACTGAGGTATGTTTCTCTCTGTAGATGTACTATACTTAGCTGACATGTATTGCAGCGTGTGTTATTAGGTAGAGTACTCTAATACAGTCATTCTATCACCGAATGAGCATCTGTTATTAGGTTATGAGCCCAAGCGGCTCCCTTTAGTGCTGCTCTGACTCGGAATCCAGAGTGACTCAAGATTATTCTCTGCTTCCTTGTATTTGCTCTCTTTGGCTCTATCTAGTTGGTCTAGCTCCTACAACGGCAAGTCTGTCATAGTTGCATGTCTACTAGCCCATTGGAGATGCCATTACCACCATCTCCTGCCGACACACCTCGACCCCATTCTGGCTCAACTTCATCGACCCACTCATCTTGCTCGACTACTCCAATGCCCTCGGAGACTTGTCAGCGCTGGACTTTGCCCCATGGTAGCCAGGCGTTAGTCCCGGGTACTCAGGACATGCGTCTCGCGAATGAAGGGGGGTATTTTGTCTGGAGCAAGAGGATGATTGCAGTGTTTACGTACGCCCAGGTTTTGGATGTGGTACAGGGGACTATGGTGTGTCCTCCAGATACAGATGAGGCTGGCCAGGAGGATTGGGACACAAAGGACAGTGCCGCTCAGGCGATGCTTTTAAATGCGATCGACAATGGGATCCTCGTGAAGGTTGCGAACCTGAGTACGTCGCATCTCATGTGGTCAGCCCTGACTGACCCTCGACAGAAGGCTCAGTATGGCAACGCTTCTCCTCCAAGATAGCATTGACGATGGTGGAGAGAGTGGTGGTCTTGTTGATCTTGATGCCGGCGACAAACTGGTTCCAAGAATCCGGGTCACCAGGCTCAGATGGTAGAGTGGAAAGAAGAATGGCGGCAGTAACAAAAGCAGGAATGTCGAAGCCAGTGGTAGCGAGATGGCTGACAGCTTCTTGATAGGACGTAACATGGGCGGCAGGGTCGCCATCCACGGGCATGGGCCAGACGAGTCGGCGGAACCACAAGGTAAGTGATCCCGAGCCAGTCTGGCTGAACTCGGTGGAGAGGTGAGAACACTCTCACTGCTAAGATTCGGGATGCTCGCCATCGTGGCAAGGCTTTCTGTCACAACTGTAAGCGGGAGGGGCATGAGTATTTTTAGGTTTGGTTGTATTGGAT